GCCAGGGAGGCCCCCAAAAGATTTTTGTATATGACGCATTTTAAATTAATTCCTTCTTGATTTTGTTTTGTTCGAACTGAATGAATTGGCTTTCGGTATGGAATATATTTATCAAATGATAATTATAGTATTCGCACTTTTATCACATTTATAATAAATAAAATGCACATATACATAATTCTCGTTTAAGAACATTTTGATGGAGAATTAAAGACAGAATTACAAAAAATATATATATTATTTTTAATGAGGAAAGCAAACTCTTGGAATAAAATTTGGCGAAGGCATATTCAAAAGTCTCAGTTTGGCGAGAATTTATTTGACAATTCCGAATTCTGTTCTGTTATAAAATGAAATGTTTTGGGGCAAAAGAGTTTTTCTATATTTTATCACGCAATGAAAACTTACATTTTAAATTAATTAGAAGACGGCGCACTTTTTTGTCATCAAACCACCGAATTCTTATTTTTTTTCGTGCGGTAAAAGTATTTCTTCCACATAATTTACGAGGATTGTATGTCTGTAAAAAGAAAAAAATTCTGGTAAAATAACCGTACTGTATGGTAATGACATTTCTGGTAAAAAAAAACTTAAAACAACAACAATCGAAATACTAGTTAACAAAACCAAAATTTACGGTATTTAAACCATGAAAACCATTCATATGGTAAAGGTTAACAGAAAATTCAGGTATTCACAATTTTAGTTCTTATAAACACATATTTAGTAAAAAAAACTGAAAAATAAATTTAACCAAACTGAATAAAAAAAACAAAAACAAACTGAAAAGTAAATCGAAAAAATTAAAAAGCGAACTTAACCGAATAAATGGTTTTTATGCAGAAGGGAAAAAGTTTCTAATGTGCAGAAAGTTTTTAAAGTAATACGATGAAACTGACAAAATTTTACCACATTAACCAAATTTTAGGACTTATTATAAACCATAATGTAATCAAAATCACTACCAAAGCACTTCGGTAAAACCAACTGAGTTTTTTGGTGCTCACATAGAGTCAGTAACATGGCAAATTTTACCATATTCTGGTAGGTTTGACCATACTTTGTTCACAGTGTACGCACACATTAAAAAGAAAAATTCTAAAATATTTTACAGGGGGGTCAAATATAGAACTTCGAAATTTTTTTTTACAAATTTCAAAATGCTTTTCACTGCTTCAGAAATATGAAATTAACTTTTAAGGGTGGTAATTTTATCATGATATCTTAAAGCACGGAATAAAAATCTTTTATTTTTACTTTTCAGTTCTCTATTTTTTACTAAATGTGCGGTATTAAGAATTATAATTTTGAAAACCGGAATTTCCAGTAAACCATAACCACATGAATGGAAACCGTTACCATATGAATAGTTTAAATACTGTATATTTTGTTTTTATAACCAGAATTATGTTCTTTTTTTAAATTTTTATATTTATTTATTTTTTTAAACAAAAATTTCTACAGTACAGTAATTTTACCAGAATTTATTTCTCCGTGTAAATGAAGTACTAAAATTCAAAATAGTCATGAAAATTAACGATGAACATAATGAAATTATAATGGGGAAGATTTTAAAATAGTATACAGAAGAATATGTTTTAAAGAGATGCTCGAGTTTCAGCTTACTTAAAAAAAAAATGTACCATCCTTATTACAGTATTCTTAATTTTTATGACTGAAGCACAAGGGTTAAAATGAAAAATTTTTTTCCTCAAGGAGAGGAAAATATACTGTTAAAATTTTCATTGTAAAAACTATGGTAAACTAATCGACAGCAGTATGTCCATCTAATTAACCGTAAAGTTTACAGTAAAGAACATTTTTTGACATTTACGGTTTTGAAATCGTTTACAACTAGTATGGTTAAAAAACTTGAAAACAAAATTATACGGTTTTGCAACCATTTATAGCTAGCATGTTTTCAAAACCGTAAAAAAGAAATTTTACTGGACATTGAAGCTGGACCTTTTGTTAGATAATGGACATTGGAGTTAGGTTGTATTTGAGTTGTGTTTTATCATATGAGCCTTGGAATGCAGTTTAATTTGTTTATCTAGATGTTACACCTACCGTAAGAGGTGGCAAATACTAGAATTTTTTTGTGTTAAGTAGCTTCATGGTTCTGCCATCTATGAATGAATGCGAGTATTGTGTTCTAACAGTCCAGGGTCACAAATTGGTTAGTGCAGGACACCGGATACTCTTCGTGCATTGAAGAGAATGGAGGAAATACTAAGGTGTCGACGCTGGGACTTGAACCAAGTTCTGCCGGTCATGAAATTGACAGATAAGCCCTCTTGGCTATAATATGTGGCCAGCTGCAAGGAACTAATTGGCTTCATTTGGTGGGATGAAATGAAATTTAGTTGATGTGATGAAATTCTGGTTGTTTAATCGTATTAGGTGAAAGTAGTTGATAAATGGTTCTTCTCACAGTTAACAATTTAAATACTATATTAATGGTTATTTGAATGTTTTGTTTGAATATGGTAAAATAACAATTAAATAAATTGTTATTTAACCTTTTTTTTTCCGAAAAATTTCTAATAGTGTAGAAAAAAGAAGAAACTTTAAGAACTAGATTTTGTAAAACTTTCCTCTAGAGCAATTAATTCGAAAAATAATAATTGATTCAAAAAAAGAATTATGCAAAAAGTAGAGAATAAATAGGAAAATCACTCATAATAAACATAGTATTTTAAATGTCATGTTTTAGTAAACTATACCATGCAAATCAAATTTCAGACTATTTAAAACTTGGGAAATTAAAAAGAAGATAAATATTAAAAATTCATTAGAAATGCTCATAAAAAATACAACTGAAATCAAAATATTTCAATGCGTGATTAAAACTATGAACGATTTTCATATACTGGATGGATCAAAAATCAATGGGAACATGACAATATCCACTAATATTGTAGTATACTCCTAAAACTTTAGAATGTTAAGTTTCTAAACACTTTAAAGTGCACACCAAATTTCAAAAGATTATTAACACGGCAAATGCCAAAACAAAATAAACTTTAAAAATTAACAAGTAATCCAGAAAAAGTAGTTATAAAAATAAAATAGTTTTATGAAGTAAAGAATGCGAAATATTCAAAAATAATTAGATCATGACCACTTAACTTTTTTGTAAAGTATATCACGCAAATCTGTTTTCCAAAATTAATTACGCTACAGATTAAAAATAAAATAAATATTATCGGAAAAATTAGCTCGACTTCAAATCTGACTATTTTAAAGTTAGGACCTTTAGATTAAAGAAGAAAAGAATGATTTTGAAGGAAAAATTATTTATACAGAAAAAAGGATTTTGAAGGATAGAATTATTTAGACCGAATAAAGGATTTTGAAAGAAAAAGTTGTTCAGACAGAAAAAAGGAATTTTTAAAGAAAAAGTGATTTAGACAAAACAAGGAATTTTTAAGGAAAAAATTATTTTGACAGAAAAAAAGAGATTTTGAAGGAGAAAATTATTCAGACAGAAAAAAAGGATTTTAAGGAAAAAAATTATTTAGACAGAAAAAAAATGGATGTTGAAGAAAAAAATTATTTAGACCAAAAAAAACAAAAAACTAAAAAGGATTTTGAGGGAAATTTTTTTTTTAATCAGACATCTATAATTATATAAACAAAAATACTATGCAGATGTAATATTATATAATTATATAAATAAAAAACAAAATACAGAAATACGAATGTTATGACAATTATTTAAATTATAACTTATCACAAACTTAAGCAATCACATTCTCCTGTTTTCAAGTCTATATTTAACCGTACTACTGAAAAATAACAGAGAAAATCGCTAAGCTATTGAAATAGCAAGTTTAATAAATTAATTACTTATAGGATATATTTTCATATGTAAATTCTAAAACAAAATTTTTTAAGTCAGGTTACGAAGTTTATGAAAAAATTTAATGCAATATATGTTTGGTATATTTTGTAATAATTATCTAGTATAATAGTTTTCTTGTAACTTTATAATAGTTAACTAATTTATGATCATATTAACTTAATTTTCTTGGCATAAGACATTTACATATGGCGAGTAAGTCTGAGAGATTTTGATATGGAGTTTTTATTTCTTCAACTGCTAATGTTATGCTATGATACAAAATTTAATTTTAAATAAAGTGCCTTTTACTTTAGTAGTCAATAGAAAATAGGAATAGAATATTTAATTTGAAATTAATAATTACTTAACAGTATTAATACTTTAATGGAATTTGTTGAAAGTCTAAGTTGTTTTTTACAATAAAATTTGATTTTAATTTTATTTTAAAATTTTAAAACAGATTTTAAATCAACAAAATTTAATTTTAAATTAAGTGCGTTTTACTTCAATAGTTTATAAAAAAAAAGAAATATTTAATTTGAAATTAATAATTACTTAATAATACTAATTTTTAATGAGATTTGGTGGACGTCAGAGAATAAGTCGGAGTCGAACATTTTAGAAAGTCTGAAGTCGGAGTAGAACATTTCAAATAAGGATTACACAATCAACAACAAAAAGTAAAACGCTGAATACAATCAAATTTGGAATGTCTCTTTGCGTGATTTTCACGTCCAATGATCTTCATTAACTGAAGAATGCAAGTATGTGGATCAATCAAATTACATTAACGGTAAACATCGAGGACTGTAAGACCTTATTTCTGAGTAAACAATTAAAATTTACAAGATAGTTTAATCCTTAAGAATATATTTTATAATTTTTGTTAAATAATTCTTGTTTTTCCCTCCCCTCCGTATCAATACAAGGAAGAGAAATGTTTATTTGATGTAGAGAGGCACAAAACAAGATTCTTATTTATTTACTCTAAAATGTCTACAACTCACACTTCTTTTATTTATGGTGATTAATTATTTAAGCGAGCTTGAAGTTATCGTTACAAAACTAGTCTTAATTGCAATTGTAAATTAATTTCTCAATTGAAATCTCTTTATTAAAAAATTCAAAGATCTAAAATAGATTCCAAACTTACCTCTGTTGTATTTCTCTCCGTTTTCCTCGTTTCAACGTCTTTCCTAATCTTGCCGGGGCTGTGTCCGATTTCGCCGGGGCTTCAGCTGGAAATGCTGGGGCTGAGCGACGAGGCACTGGGTAGGGGAAAGCAAAAAGGGGTGACCTTCTGCAGATCAATTCTGTTCCATCCGGCATGCGCTACGGGGGGTGGGTTTGCGAACCAAGTGTGTATGTATGTCTAAGGAACCGTTTGTTTGTTGGGCTTAAAGCGGCCGGCTTTGTTCTGATTTTTTTTATTCACTTCTCACCCCCCCTTCTCACCGAATTGTTGTGTCTGACTAAAGAATGCGAAATACTGTTTTAAATAATTCAACATGATTTTTTAAAATCTATTTTCTTTTGAATCAATCAAAAGGATTTTCTTTTCATTTTAATTTGTTTGAGATTTTGAATTATTTTAAAATTTGCTTAATATTGCTTTCAGTAATTTGAGTAAAAATAGTAAATTTAATGCATCTCAAAGGGAAAATTAATAAATTATCATTTTTCCCTTATGAAAAAGATTTATTGCTCTAAGATAATAGAAAAATAAATCAATTTATACTTACTCGGATAATAAATGGTATCGAAATATGTACATATTTTTTTTTTATCTGGTTGCACAATTTTTTTTAATTTTATCTATTCCAATCAATCCAAAGGATTTTTTCCTTTTAATTTTTCAAAAATTCAGACTTTTTTCAAAATTTGTTAAGTTTAAATTTTTTAATAATTATGGTCAAAAATGGCATTTAAATCGGGTTTAATATTAGATTTCAAATCCTAATTTAAAGATTTGTCGAGCTTGTCAAATAAGTTGCCAAATCTTTTAAGAACGTAATATATATTGAAAATTTTTCAGCGGCCTAGGCCAATAGGCCCATACTCCGAATATAATGGAACAACAATTTTCAACCTGACAGCAAGTACATAGAAATAAAATGTTAAAAATTTTACAGTAACAACGATGGCAGCAAGCCACGAAAACATTGAAATACATCAGAAAGAAGGTCAACGGACCCTTATAATTTAACACATCGTTCAAAAATTTAGCATAAAAATAAACTAAAACAATATTGGTCGTGTTTGGTGTTGTTACGTTCAGGCCAACAGACCCTTATAGTAACATAATATATCTAACATCACAAACCCATTTTTACTTACTAGATATTACACTTGAAGTAAGGTATCAGTAGGATCGAATGGAGAGCTAGAGCTAGTTGCTGGGTAAAATTAAATAGTTAGGAATTACACACAAGGTAAAAGTACACATTAGTACAAGCCTGTCCAGAAAGACATAAAATTTGTAAAAATCAATAAAAATGAAAATTGTAAAAACATTACAATTTTAAAACATTATGTTAAAATAAGAAATCGATTGTATAAAGCCATTAACATGCATAAAATTTCAAGGTATAAAATTATTTGTGGATAAAAGATAGGATAAAGATGTAAAAAGACAAAGTTGATAAAATAACAAGCATAGATAAAATATACTCTAAGATTAAAATCATTAAAATATGTTTGTCCAAAAGGGACGTAAATGTTATAAAATTCATTTAAAAATGTTTGCAAATCAATATTTAAAAGCGTGTTTTGATGAATATAAAAAAAAAGGTGGTATACAAAATCAAAGGTCAAAAAAAGTCAATTGTGTATAAAAATTAAAATGAAAATCAGTTAAAAGTTAAATAATTAACAGTTAAAATCAATATCAGACCAGTGTAAAACAACCAGCCGAGCAACATTTAAAAAGTGTTGAGTAAAATGGAAAGCGATGTTTGAAACATAAAAAATGTAAATACAAGGTCTGAAATTTAAAATATGATATACTAAAAGTTTGAAATTTAAAATACTACGAGTAAAATTATTAAATAAAGTGGTCCAAGGAGTATTTAACTATATTTTTTTAAGGGGGGGGGGAGAGCAAATTAGTTGTTAATTTGGGCCAGCATCTCCTCGAGAGTAATTTTAATGATCTCTTTAATAATGGATTTGCAAGTATTGCTTANTGTTACTGTGAATGATTGAAATTGGTGATTGTTGATTTCCACCGATGAATGTTGACAATCACATAGTCGCTTTGGTAAATGTTCGAAATATATACTAGGTTTATTTAAGTGCCACTGCCCGGTATACCTTACACTGATGTTTTTTTAGGTTCAGTGCCACTGTCGGTTCAGTGCCGGTATCCATTTGCTCGGTATGGTCCTTTGCTATTCAGTCTTCTAATAAATCGTGCTTAATAGAACAAAATAAAATTCGTGGAAAAATCTTATCCACTTCGAGCTTTCTTTGCTAAAGTATAAAAAGGACTAAAATTATTGCAATCTTTTTACATTCAAATCAGATTTTTTTCATATGTTGCCCAATGCGAATTAAAAATAAAAATATGAGGAAGGAAAAAAAAAATGAAAAATTTAAAAAAATTTCCGCTTTAGCGCAGTTTTAAAAGAATATTTTAAATCCTCAAATCTTCCACAATTTTAAACGAATTTTGTTGAAGTTTCAAAAATTTTTTTGATGATTAATTATAAATCCAAAAATTTTGTTTATTTTTATTGATATTTTCAAAGTTATAGTTAAAAACGTAAAACTTTAAAAAAGAAAAAAAGCTTTTGCATAAAAATGTCCACCTTTCCATAAATATTTATGCTAAGCCTACGAAATTTTATTTAATTACTGCATATAATAATAAAAGTAATCAGTAGAAGTTGCGAATTTATTGCTAGATTTTCTAATCAAAATTAATTTTCTTCATTCGTAATTTATTTACGGTCCACAAACATCAGAAAGTCTTAAACGTTATTGATAAATATGAGAAATCGCATGTCCTAAACACCTCATAAGTTATAAAATTATCCTCTGAGCATTTCTTGAAGAATTAAAAAAATTAAAACTGGAAGTGTCTCTTCAATTATTGTAGGGCAGTGTACATGTATGTACCATGACGACATAAAGAGAAATTATGAAAAACTTCGCGAGGAAAATTACACAGTGCTATACTGCTTATTTCTGATAGGATATATCAGTCATTAAAACCTGGAGAAAAAAAAATTGCTGTAGATAAAACAAATGTTACTGGTTTTATTTTGAGTTAGGGATAGTAAAGTATCAATGATGGTGCAAATCCAACAGCACGAGACCTCCTAATATTTAGGAAGAAGCGTGAATACCCCAAAAAATCTTTGTAATGATGTGTAGAAAATTAATTCACTTGCAATTGCTCCGGATTAATCTTTAAAGAAGTTCAAAAAATTGAATTTAAAAAACTCAGGAAATTAGCATGCGAAGTTAGGAGAAAGACAGTTGTTTCAAACACTGACTTTATCCAAATGGTACATGCATGTATCCTTTCAGAACAAAAACTAAGAAAAGTTTGTCTAGAGAAAGAACTCCTCCCTCCAAAAAGTCTAAGGACCGTCTGCTGCTATGGAAACAAGAAATAGCGCATTTCAAAGAGAGGGTTCTCTAGCCAATCCAAGCCAAAAACTATTTTGAATAACGATCCAGCTCCCCTAATTGAAATAGTTAAACCTCGTAACCATAGCCACCACCACTGCATTAAACGAACGGCAGGGGGAATTCTTTGCATAGACAAACTATAGCTATATATAAATTTTTTCGCTCATTCATCACGCCTATGAACTGGTTTTGCAAAGTGCATTAAAAAAAAATATATATACGAATTGAGAAAGCTTCTGAATTGGATCAGTAAAAAGTTGGAAAATCATTAAACCTAATAAAAATAGATATGGAAAAAAAATGCTGAACAGTATTTGAATGAGACAGAAATTAAAGAGAAGTTAATCCTTTTGGTAAAAGATTAAAACGAGCTCAGTGATGACTTTAAAGAACTCACTGTATTGTGAATTATGTTATTGGAATGATGTATTGATGAAATATTGAATACATTGAGTTATGCATTTATTTATATGTTGATGAAAAGGAACTTTAAATCCATTATACCTCAAGGTCGATGTATTGGAAAGGTAGTTTATTCCTCAAAAACTGTCGTGTTGGATCCCCTCTGAAGAGAATCAAAATTGCGATGGCGAGTCTTCGGATCAACCTCAGGTATGTTTCCCAGACAGTCGCAAAACAGCTTAATGTGCAGCTCTACCACGACGTAAATAAAGTAACTAAGTACCAGTCTTGCTGAGATCGTAACCTGCTTGTAGAACATAAAAAGTCTTTAAGAGACATTTCGATGTTTATTGCAAGACGCAGTTGTTAAGCGCATGTGATGCTGGTTTGAATGGAATGCGATTTCGAAATCACTTAAAAAAGATCTCCTGTTTCTTAATGAGCTGCCACAGCCTAGGTTATTATTCATTTAGCACACGCCGTCACCCGAAAGACTAGCGTGATTTCAGAAATATCACGGACGCGAGTAACCTTACCTCCTATCAAATATTTGTCAAATCTCTAAAGTGGCCATCCTGAATGCTGAACACTTTCTTACGTGCCCAGGTTTAGATAAGAGTCTCCGACACTTGGTGAAATCGCCAGCTGCTAGAATTTTTATGAACTACCTGCGTGGAAGAATCAGAAGTCACCACTAGAGGACCTCTTTGAACTCATTAATATTCAATTTGTAACCGTAACATTCATCAGAGATGCTAGGGAAAAAATACTTACTCTTTTATTTTAGCAGTAGTGTCATCCTCTGTCTTGTATACATCATATTGTAGATAATATATTTTTTGTTACTTAACCCTTCAACTAGTCATTTCACATTTGAGCAGTTTTCATTTTTTTTTCTAAAGAAAACCATGTATATTCACTAATAGTTGAATTGATCTTCAGTATAAGTATATGCCCGGTGGAATAAGTAAAAGACAGAACCTGTGCTTTCTTTCCTCTTTCTTTTGTTATCTTGATCATGTTTATATTGTGCATGTTTATAGTATTTTTTTTTCTTGTAAACTGTTCCTTGTTTCTTTCTCAGGCATTGGATTGTCTGACCTCTATGTATTAAAATTCCAGCTAGTCCCATGTAGCAACAGAACTCCTGTTTTCTAAAATCTCTTAAAACAGAAAGATCTGACGATACAATTTCTGTAGCAATAAAATTTAGACAACACTAATAATATCTGTAGTTAATTTACGTCGCACTAGAGCTGAACAATGGGCTATTGGCGACGGTCTGGGAAACATCCCTGAGGATGATCCGAAGACATGTCATCACAATTTTGATCCTATGAGGAGGGGATGGAAGCCCCGCT